TACAACTCCATCACAACACATCACATCTGTTTCTAATAACAGTCTCATTAGATTTTGTCTCAGTTACCTCATAATTGAACGTGTTACTGTCTTCTTATACTTTACTTCTGCATTACTGCTATTTTGTTGCATGGTATTCATGTGATGCTTAGAATAGACTCAAGAGAAGTTATTTAACGAAGAGTTCTAGTGTCTCGAATATTTTGATGGGAACAAAGCCAAAAGGACAGAACTCTAGAAGATTTTTGATAGCTAAGAAGCGATGAATTAATGTTGACTTCACTACTTGACAAAATGTAACTGAGAAGTTTTCCAGCTTTCGTATCTCGTTTAAATGTTCCAGAACCTTAACGATCATTTAAATCAGACCAACGGTAATGGTTAAATACTGATGGTCTTTTGAACTTGTTGGAAAATACAGCATCTTTTTACTTTAGTGGATTATTGAGTTTGTGAACTATATCAGGTGAAGCTAGTAAAATTCACCAGCCATAGTAATTTATCTCGTACTAATTTATTATGTAGACCAAAATTCACTTCTTTACCCATTAAAATGCCTAACACTTGACTGAGCACTCACCATTAAAGTACCTAACGTTTTTGGGCTGCTGTCTTACAAAAAACCTTAATGAAGTGATTCGACAAGCTTTCAACTTCTTCCTTATCTGCCTCGCCAAATCCATACCCACCGTCAACAGACGTGATTCTGCTGTCGCTTTGAGGGCTTCTGGAAAAGACTCAACATGGAAACATTGTAAAACTAGCTTCATGAAAGTTTGAGAGTGTTTTAGTCGAATAACTTCACTGTGGTTTTTAGCTAGTTCTTCATTACGAACTTTTGTAAAAGAAAAACAAATAACTTTGCCATAACATATCCAGTTTTCTATCTTATCATACAGATTTTTCGGGCAACTAGGAGCTGTGTATAAAGAAGCTCGTGTATCAAGGTTTTATTGGCTTGTGGTAAGCATTTGGAATGTAATTACTAAGTTGTGTAGTAATGACATAGTAGGCACAACTAATTTGGCAGTTACGAATGAACTTAGTTGTGCACCTTTTAGGAATTGTCTTCTCATCTACACATAATAGTATGAGTTTGAAAAAATCCCCTAACCTTCATTCACACTGTCAACCTGTTTTCTGTTATAATCTTTCATTAACTAGCGCCAGAAAATATGGGAATTTGTGTTATTTATAAAAAACATATCTTAATGTCTTAGCCCTCCCAGCCATTGATAAGTTTCTGGCTTTAGAAGCTTTCTGTATCGGACCCTAAATACCAAAATTTGAAGCTGATGACAGCTGTATTCGTTGTTTAACCACTTTCACTGTATAAAAGCTTTTAAGTCAACCGTCGTAATTTAAGTGTTTTGCAAAATACTGGCGTTTTGCAAAACAGATTGACGGGCACTTGCGAAATATTTTGTTTTTAATAAAAACAGTATGAAATTTCTCCGTATGAGTGATTATCTTGCAGAGCCAACTAAACTCCTTCCGGCTCTTAAGAATTTGATAATCAAAGGCAAGTTACAGTTGACTATTGTTTTAAGTCATTAGGTGTTCTACTTGATTCTGCCAACTTTTGAGAATGCTACACTGTCTACTGTTATCCATCAGAGTTGCCATCACTCACGATAAAAGAAGTACGTTAAGATTTTTGTTCTCAGAACCGAAGGGGAAATCAAAATACTCTCCATGCTTATAAATAAACTCACCTTAAAGAACGTCTTGTTCAATCTCGTCAGATCTGTCATATATAAAAATGTCTCATGAATCAGCATGTTGTTTCTCACTAGCTAAAGTTTCTATGATTCGAAAACCAGATGTAAAATGTGGTAATACGGTGGGAAGAATATATATGATGAAAAGGAAGACTTACTGAAGATAAAAGGTGTCCAACATTTCGAAAGTGATAATGGAGGAATACACCTTCAGTATTGTGAGAGATTCTCGGTAATTTCGCCAGAAATCCATATCCCTTAGCTGGAACTGTTCAGAGGATTCCAATTCTAAGAGGCTTATTATTCCACTCCCTTTGCTTTTTTCAAACGTTTTAATCACAGCGTCAATGAGGTTCTTATTTTTATGTTCAAAAAAGTCATTTAAAACGGAGACATACAGTATGCTTTCAGGTATTCATTGGTTCATTCATAGATGTACTTCCTTTATTTTACTATTAAATACTTTGAAGACAAAAGCCATCTTAAATATTACTAAGTAACTTATCTCTTTAGTATTGAAGGTCACATTTCGCAAATCAAACTAAGTTGTATGACTTTTAGAATTCAATATGAATGTGTTTCACTTATGAACTTGGTCTAATGCATCCGAGGAAACTGCTGACTGCTTAGGTAACAGACACTGTTAGTTAGCGTTTATTATGGTTTTTGTCAATACTTTTAAAATCATTGGTGATAGGATTTTTGTAGCTTACCAAATGAATCACCATATTCTTTATTATCGGAAAACAAACTGAACCAATCTTAAGGGAAACTTTTGTTGTACCTCACTTAATAAATTACACTTCCATGAGCTTTTGCATTGGCACTTACATCATTGCTAGTTGACTATATGTACGGATTATCTGGACTCTTGAATGTTTTTAGTTTAAGGCCTTATTGAGGTGTGATTTAGTTCAACTATTAGGTCATCAATTGTTTTATTTTTATAATGACAGCCTCATAAATCAGACTCAGGTCATTGTCATATGTATATATAACGTTTTCTTTATCCGTTGAAGGGTTGAAAAGTCGAATGTTTGTTTTCTTCTGCCTGGTCTTAGCTGTTTCTTTATTCCTTTACGTTCCCAGTGGAATACATAAGGCTTCATGCTAGAGATTTGAAGTTTCAGTGGCAGTAAAACCTTATTTTTATGGGATGGGGTTACTAGCCTCAGTGCCAAGCCTCCCCCTTTAGCGGTCCCATTACTGGCTTAGAGAGGTAAAGAAGTGCATCAGTGGCAGAGAATCGATCCTCTAACCGCCTGTGTGGTCGATGAGCATTCTACCAATGTGCAACCTACTCACCTTTCTATCTATAGAGACATACAATCCACCCTCAGAAGAAATTAGATATTCTTTTTGATCAAAAGCCAAAACATTTGTCATTGAAATATTAAATTGAAATCCATCCAACTTCTATATTATCAAGTTAAATATAGTTTTTCATAGCGTGTATTTCATTTCAAATTGATATCACATAAATAACCACTGAAAAGCAAGTTATTTTCTCATAGTTTGGAGACGTCAGAAAATAGTCATCTGTAAGTCCTTGAAAGTTATCAATTGAGTCGATTACAACTGGAACGAAGTACAACACAAAGATCATTCACATAAGGAAGGAAAGTAGAACACAAGCTTTAAAAGAGGGTGTATTTAGTAAAATTTCAAAAACCAGAGTGCACAGGCTAAGCCTATACGAACAGCTGGTCTTTTTATCTTCGTTAATATCAGGTCTTGATAGTAGATATTTTCCTGAAAAGAAAGAGGAGAATATTGTTTCGTGTTTTACCTTTACTGGTGAATGTACGATATTACTTAACCACCATTTCATATCGTCGATAAGTAACTATTCTCAATTCATGGCAAAACATAGATTTAAATCGACCAAATCAACTGGTTCCGAATATAGAGCAAAGCAAGACATTCATTCAAAACTGTGTTTTCAGTGATCTGATTGGTTGGTCACTGATGAATTTTAAGAATACCTATTACTATTTCATGGTTCATTTACTACGCATTAGAGGCTTTTCAGTAATCTCATTTGAAAAGGAAACTAAAGGAAGTCTGCTCTTTAGTATATAATGCCACTATATGTTTTTCTCACATTTTATCTGAATTAGTCATGATGAACCATTGGAAAACCTGCAGGGAATACTGGACAGCTGTTACGTCCTAGTTTGAGGCTCTTCATCGATACACACTCACTAATGGGATTCGAACCCTGGAACTTCTGGTTAGAAGGCGAGCTGTCCAGTACTCCTCGCAGGTTTTTCAATGGTTCTCTAACGAATGTCAGCTCATGATGAAATCCTTCAACCAATCCAAAACATTGTTTTTTGTAGTTGAGTTGTACTGAGTGCGTCGGTGGTACAGCGGTAGAATGCTCGCATACTACGACCCACGTGTTGTCTGTAGTTTTATCCCCGGCCACGGACTCACTCCTTTACTACACTAAGCCAGTAATAAGACTGATAAGGAGGGAAGGTTGAGCATGAGGCCAAAAAAGCCATCCCGTAAAAATAGACACTACTGCTATCGAAGCTTCAAGCCCCTAGTTTTAAGCCCTATGTTTCACTCAGAACATAAACAAATGAAAGAAAAGCTGTACTGATATACTCTTCCTGGTTGAACATTATTTCTATGAGAAAATGTTTAACTTTGGCTTTTCTTAAGAATATTTGTCTGTTCTAAATTTTAGCAATTTGACAGTTTATATCATCCCGGTCTTCTGTTACGCATAGTCCCTATGAATTACTCTTTGTCATCGGGTTAGTGGTGTAGCTGCAGAATGTTCGCCAACCACGAATGCGGTTTGCGGTTCAATTCTTAGCCGACACCGTACTCTTAAACACCTATTATTCAAAAGTAAGCCCCGTAAAGTGAGTAGGTTGATAGTGAGGCTAGCAACCCCATCCCCCTCTAAAATAACACAAAAAAAACTAGGGAAACTTCAAATCTCAAGCTTGCATTGGGGCGCACCCATGGAATAAAGAAAAGTCGCCAAAAAGTATGTCTAAACTACTTTTTCGCAATTTATATTCTTGTATTGTTCAGGTTATAAATAGTCAAAAAGAATCCTCGATATAACAAAAAAATGAGCTCATATTATCCTGGTATATATTTGTTGTCCATACATTGGGATGAACATTCTTTTTAAACGCTTATATTCTCATGTGTGATATGAATTCATTTTTCGTGTTATGACATAATGACTAAATATTATTATTACTATTATGTGATGTTATTATTTTATAGTTTTTAAAACAAGATTTTTAACAAATGGAATTGTTAACAGAACGCTACTTTCAAAAACCACTAAGATTAAGTCATAGTACATCAAATCTACCAGATATTCTGAAGTCAACCAACTCAAGATATTCAGAAAGATTTGATGATCTTACAGAAGGAAGTTTTCCAGCTTTGTATACACATAGAAGTGTAAAATCATTTGCGCCATGGCGTCCTAAATCGCATTTTTCACCTGATCGGTTAACTTATAATGGTATTCAATCGGCAAGAATTGGTCCAATAGTCAATGTGATGGGTGAAACTTCAAGACTACATGAATTAGAAGGCCTTAAAATACCGTCTATTTATTCAGCTGCACGTAATGCCTTATACACAAGATATACACCAGCTGATTGGAATAAGGGTAATGCTTTACAGCTGACAAGTTCTGAACAAGCAAGAAAGAGAGCTGAGCATATACGAGAGTATGGAACACGTCTGGGTATTGAATCAGAAGATAGAGTTAGACGTGCCCAGCAAGAAGTTAGCAAGTTACTTGGTAAGATACATTTTCTATTATTTGCTTCATATTATATGACTTTCTTCCTAACATTTGAGAAAATATGTGGAATAAGACGCCTAGATTTCAGAAACACCTTGATGACTGGTGAGTGCTAACAAGCATAAAAATTTGGTTCAAGGTTTCCCGTCAGTTGCCTTCAATAATCTAACATCGATTCAGTATACACCTGAATGGCGAGTCACCTAGCTACATAGTGACCACAATGCAAACTTGAGTGATAGAATTCAGTCTCCACCAACAACAAGGACTAAATGCAAGACATGGCCGACCGAAATATATAACGCCTTCACTAGAAGAATATTTCTACTTTTCAAAAGAAACATTTTGACTTGAGAAAAAGGGAGAGTGTAGCTAGAATATGACGTTTAATCGTGAGTATATGGTTCGTCTGAACTTCAAACTAACGGGGATCGGGTTCAAACCCAGTAGTGCATTCTTGAACCTGGACTTCAGTCCCTGACATATGTATTTTACCTTAGCCTAAAAGGAAAATTGAATCCCCTAAAGGAAATATGGTTTTTTAATTGAATTTTAGATATTCCCGTCGATTGAGTGGACCAAAGTGCTCGGTCTAAGGCTGACATGTAGGTACACCCCGTGACGAGTCCAAAATGGGACGGAATGCGCATCCTAGATTCCACTGCTAGTAATCATCCACCAATTAAATTATGATTTTTGCCTGAAATGAATTACATGTTTATTAGTTGACACTGAAATTAATTTTTGAAACAGAGGTAAAATGGACAACTATAACTGAATATATTTATTTCTCTCATTATTATGCATGGTTAGTTAATTTATTTTGCCCTATATGTAATCTTTTTATTTTAGATTCATAATTGTATGCTTAATTTTTCAGGTTAGCAAACCATCATATTTCATAATCATCTGATACCATTTTCTTGCATATATTTAAACAAAATAGCCAACATCAGAAAAATAAATATCCATAACTTTTAACAGCTGTTTCGTCCTAGTTTGGAACCCTTCAGTAGTTCTTTCCGAGAGATTTCTTTGATTTAAACTTTGACCATGATCTGACTTTAGTTAGAGAACTATTGAAAACCAGGGAGTGCTACTCAGCTACTTCGTTCAGGTTTAGAACTTTTAAGCTGTACGCACTAATAACCCCACCGGGGATCAAAACCAGAGGACGTCAAGGCTACAACACGGCACTCCCTTTGACCATTCAGCGACTGGGATGGAGTCAAAGTTTTGTATGAGTTCTAAATTCCGCTAAAACTACGATGTGCAAAGACAACTGGATCATCAACGAGGTCACCCCTTAACGTGAATATCTTGCGTCCATGCTGCTAAATGGCCCCCAAACTAGGACGAAATAGCTGTCCAGCAATGTGTGACTTTTAATGGTTAGCTTGTGACCTACCCTAAATTGAGTCAAATTCTAGAAATAATGACTTTAGATTTAATTCTCATGACTGAAAGCGTTAAGAGTAGAATTTCGTCCTGGAAGTGGCTTTCTTTGAACCTGAGGATGTTATGTTTCTATTTTCTTATTTTTGCGTTTACTATGAAAGCGTTCTGAAGTTAACTCATTTGTACAGACTTTAAATATATAAAGACAATGCTTTGTTTATTTAGGCTAAATACAAATATGGAAGCCATTTAGAGTTATGTGAAGCCTACGGAATAGGCGTTTTCAATTTAGTCTTATTTAATAAGGGTAGGATCTATCAGATATCAGATGTAACTTGTCTACTGGTTGGCAGTAGGTAGCAAGTATAGCTTCATTTCAAATTGTGACACAAAATTAACATGTGGGAGACATACTTTTAAAGATAAAACTAGTAGGTCGGGTTCAATAAGATTATCCTATTATTAGAACTATTGTCGAAACAAGTTAATTGATCTACGGAAAAGCTATGCGTCCCCTTGTAAGCATTTACGCAATAAGGTAGGAATAGGTAAACGTATTAAAAAATGATATAGTTGGGCTGGGAAAGAAAGAGAGACGTTAATCACTGAATCTTTGCTCCTCAAATCAACCCCAGATATATGCAATAGAAATGATGCAACACATGCCCGTTATATCACTATTCCCTTCAGTCCGGAATGCAACATAGGACTTCATCAGAACATTTCCATTTTGTCCTGTCCTGTGCAGTACTCTTTAACTGGTTCCACAACTGTCCGTAAGATCTCATCCCCACCCACCTCCCACGCGATCTCTTCCGTGTCATCTTCGGATCCATACCTAACTTGTCGTTTCCCGTTCACTATCCACTTGAGGGCCTGGCACATGATGTCACTCAATTGTCTTTCCAGTATGTATCTAATCTATCCCCATTTACTTCAGAATATTTATCGGGTAACAAGGTGTTAGAGTTCCTTGTGGCTAATTCCTTTTGGCCAGCCATTCGATCGTCAGTGTGGAGCCAGTGACACCAGCCGTTGATAAAAGTCTAAAGTACCCTGTTGGAAATGCTCTGACCCGCATAGAACTGACATAACATTGGTTTTGAAAATCTGAATTTCGTTCTTTCTGTTGAAGGCAGCAGATTTCTCCTAGCTTCGACATCCTCAAGTGTGCCAAATGCCTGCAGGTGAAACGATACTGTCTAGATAAGCGAAGGAAAGTTATGCATAGAAGATTACAGTAAAAAATCAAACGGCGGTAAGGTTATATGAAATAAGTTTAGGAGTCGCAAGATTACACTGATATGATAATGAGCAATAAATTGTACTCCAGATGTCATCGTGTTATTAACAGAATGTACTACATTGAATAAACTTATTTAATACGGAATAAATCTTATCTTTGTTCTTTATGTTGTCTTATTTAACATTAGGTCAAAGAATTAATGATATCAATTATATGAAACATGAATTACACAATGAAATAGATGCACTTGTCAATGAAATGAATAAATTAATTGAAGCAAAAAGAATTGCTGAAAAAGCTTTTGCTGAAATAGAAAATCCATTGCATATTACACAAGAATGTTTATATCATCGAGAGAAACGTCAGTCGACGGATCTTGTACATGATCAACCAGAAATAGCACTTTTAAAGGTAATTATTATTATTATTTATATTGTAAAATGAAACTGTCATTGGTTGGAGGACTTCATCATGAGCTGACATCATTTGCAGAACCATTAGATAACCACCTGAGAGTACTGGATAGCTGTTTCATTGGCCCTGTTTGAGACTCGTTATCAGTACGCCTTCACCGGGGTTCAAATCCAGGACCTTCTGGTTACAAGGAGAGTTAGCTAGCGGACTACTAAGCCACTGGGACCCGATCCAATAGTCAGCCCAGGAATTCTCACTTCCGCCAGCCAATTCATGACATAGCGCTAACACTTAGTAATGTCTTCTTCGATGAATAATTGTCCTCACCTTCAAATTGCTGCATCCTACTGGTCACGACTTCCCAAAAGAACCTCATGAGCTGATGTTGTCTCATGATGAAATCCCCCAACCAATCAAACAAGATCCCTACGGAACCACTGTCATTGCTTACGAATTTATAATACGACTGAAGTATTTCCATCTTGATAACTCATGTCTTCTGTTTAAGCAATCGAATTTCATTCAGTAAGTCATAAAAGTTTACTCTGTTCCATCTATTAGGGTTCAGGATAGTGTCATCAGACTTCAATTGCTGTGCATTTTAACTAAAATTCCTATGGTGCTCAGGTTGCTTTTTGATTAATTTTGTTGGTTTAAACAAATTTTCCTACGTGTTATTTTAATTCTTCAGTATTACTAGAAAAATGAAAAGTAATCACTAAAGTAGTAACAGAACAATATATAACTAAAACTCCTCCAGCAATACCATCATTAGCCACAGAATCGTCAGTGGACACCAGAATTTCTTGAAGCTACTGGAAACCGGGAAGGTAGCTGAACCACATAGACTTCCTTCAGAGATCTCAATGTTTATCTCCGTGCCATTGTTATAGAAAGTTTAGAAGGATGGAAAGGTGCATTCTGATTGGAAAAAGGCTACCCTGCCAAACTACCAGAGAAAGATGACTCTGGTCTTTGAAAAAAAACTGGCACGGAATCATGTTTATGCCCAAGCAAAATATTTAGTAGAACTATCTTTCAGAGACTGAAAGGTGCTCTAGATACAAAATTTTCCCCAGAACAACCTGGATTCAGGAAAACAAATCATGTTCAGTTGAAATAGCAGTGTTACGCGTTAACATCTAACACAGCATAGAATACCAGTCAAGTGTCAGTTTCAATTTCATCGATGTTGAAAAAGCCTTGGACAACATTGACCACAAAGCGATTTGGAAACTTCTCCTACATTACGACGTGCCCCAAACTTTTATCAGCCTCATTCAACAACCAAATGACAGTGGTACATATCAAGTGATTCACAACGGAAAAGTCTGCGATGACTTTGAAGTGAAGACAGGAGTAAGACAAGTCTACCTACTATCACCAGTGATATTCCCCACAGTGGTGAACTGGGTCATGTAGCAGATCGTCTGGTGCGCCAAAACACGAATATGTTGGACCGATAAGAAGATTCTAGGAGATCTGAACTTACTAGTTGCCTTCTTGTCTAATGTAATGCAAACTCAAAGATCTACCGGAGGAAATCAACTGGTTAGCAGAAGAGGTTGATAACGAAGACAGGAGTTCACGTAAGCAAAAAGAAGACACAAGTGATGAAGATTCCTAACCACTGCCAACATCACCAACAACAACAACCAGCAGTAACCAACAACGGGAAAAGTCTGGAGGAAATTAATTCTTTCACTTATCTGGCTATCATCACTTCAACTACAGATGACAGCACGGACTACGATGTAAGATCCATGACTGGGAAGGCAAGACAGACCTTCACTCTTCTGAAATCGGTCTGGAAATCTACCGCACTAAGTATGAAGAATAAGATTCAGAAAACGATGGGTTGGGCATAAGTCCAAGGGTGATCTAAAGGAGATCGTTTTAGGTGGAGATGAGAGTTCAGGGATATTCGTGGAGCCAGCTGAAAAGGACTGAAATGGAAGTGAGCTATTGAAGCTCCATGTCTCACTCACTCGAGACCTATAGAAACAATCATTCATACGTAGTCGCTAGCATTCACTTTGTATTCATAATTATTAGTTGATAGGGCCATTCATAGTGTCGTTAAGTAACTTCTCAGTAAACTTTTATTGTTTATGACACAAGAAATTATATCAAAAGTTTAAAATCCCTTATGAAACACTTATCTGTTTCATATTAAGTTTGATGTTAATGATTATGATAAGACAAAAGGGAATAGTTGCGTGGAGTAAATAAAAATGGAATCTTATAAACTCAATAGGCTGATTGTTTGAAATTATGTGATAAACAGTTACCGTGGTTATCTTCGTTAAATGATAAAGTATAATAGTGAATGTGTAAGCTCTTTTATTGTACATTTTCGTCAAATGAAATCTTTCTTACTGCTGATTGAGCTTTTGTTGAATAACTCCCACGTTTAAACCATCTACCATCATAAAAATTAGGTTATACACCAATTGTCTTACAATGAATAAGAAGGGAGTGGACATTATTTAGCCTTCTAATTACGTGTTGAAATTACATTAAAATAAGTCTTCGGCGAGTATTTATCTTCACACCCACCTGCTGCAGCCTACTGGTCACAACTTCCTACTAGAACCCCAGGTAACTACCTACCTGAATAGGGCAAGTCGCCAGTGAGCATGTCATCAATATTTAAGTGTTGGTTTGTATGGATTTAATTGGTTACAGGATTTCATCATGAGCTGGCAGTGATTAGAGAACCACTAGAAAACCTGGGAGTACTGGACAGCTGTTTCGTCCTAGTTTTGAACTCTCCAGCGACTGGTCCTATTCAGGCAGTGACCTGGGGTTCTAGTGGGGTGCCGTGATCAGTAGAGTACACCAGGTTGAAGGTGAGGGCAGTTACTCATTGAAGAAGACATTACGAAGTGATCGCACTATATCATGAATCGGCAGAAGTTAGAATTCATGGGTTAGCCATTAGTTCGGACCCTAGTGGCTGGATTAATGGTCTAATAGCTAGCTCGCCTTATAACCGAAAGGTCCTGGGTTCAAACTCCCTGTGGTGGGTGCGTACCACTGAAGAGTCCTGCAGGTTTTCCAATGGTTCTCTAACCGATGTCTGCTGATGATTTAATCCTGTAACCAATCAAATCCCTACAAACCAACAGTTAAAATAGGTGTTTGTCAGCAGTAGTTTTGAGTCATTTATCACTTGAGTATAAGCGTGATTGATAAAATTATTTCGCGTTGTAATATGGATAAGTCCTTTCGTTGGATCCAAAATACAACCACTAGGTATCATTAGGTATAATGAAAAATCTAGGTCTAAAGGTAATCAATACACTACTTATAATAATATCTGTCCATTATTATTTGTTAGTATTCCTTTGGATTTCAGGTGAAGCATAGGGCTTCAACAGAAAATCTCCGTCTTGTACTATTCTTCGCAGTCCTTTTTAGCTGGTTCCACGAATACCCTTAAGCCTTAATCTCTTGAAAGGATTTCATCCATATCACTTTCGGACGCCCAACTCATCATTTCCTGTTTGAGTTACTCCTAAGTCGTCGCTTGGCACTCGATGTCACTCGATAGTCTTCTCAGTATGTGCCCAACTCATCTCTATTTGCTTCAGAATATTTTCTGGACTATGAGTTCTTGGTTTGTTCACAGCCTGCTAGACTTCCTTGTTACTAATTCTTTCTGGACATCTGATCTTCACTATCAAGCGAATGGGGTACATGTCGGTAGAAGTGTGAAGTATCCTGTTAGTGATGCTTTTTGGTGCATGCCAAGTCTCTGACCCATGTAGAAGTGACACATCGCTAATGTTGGAAATCGGAAGTTTTTTTTATCTTTATGCTTAGTGCAGAAGATTTCCGAGTTTCTGGCTTTGACATCGTAATCCGTGCCGAATGAGTGTAGCTGAGACGATACTGCCTAGATGAGTAGTCTGGACGCTTGAGTTTGAACAAAAGGCCTACACAAGAGATGTAGCTCCCTGCCAGATGCATGTCAGCACAGGTAGTTGTTGAAGAATAAGTATGTACCTATGCAGCTGAAAAAAATGTTTAACTGAAGAGGCCATCTTGAAAAGTAACATCAAAGATCTACATGAATTGACTTTTCCTAAAGTTTGAGACGTCTAGTTTATAAACAGTCTCAAATGATTTTACATGATACTTGTGATGTTATAACTTTACCGTATATCACTAATAATGATAATAAATAACATGAATTGGAGTCTCTCCGTCTTTCATTTGTTGCTTCCCCAGTGGAACATGGGGCTTCAAGCTTTAGGTTTAAAGTTCCAATAGCAGTGGTGATTTTTCTTCCTACAACAGAAAACAATCAGCCAGCATAAATGGGAGGAACCTGAAAGAAACAACCTCCTTTACCTACCTACCTGGGAAGCATCGTTTCAACTACAGGCGGAACTGGCCAGGATATCAAAGCGAGGATCGGGAAAGCAAGGCAAGCTTTCATTACTCTCAAGTCTGTATGGAGGTCAACAGCACTCAGTATGAAAAATAAGATCCGGATCTTCAACTTCAGTGTGAAGTCAATGCTACTTACAGTACGGATCGGAGACTTGGCTAGCGCGTCATAAAGAGCATCACAAACAAACTTCAGACCTTCATTAACAGTTGTCTTCGCTCAATACTCAAGATCAGATGGCCGGCCAGAAAAGATTGGCGGCAGGTATCTCTGGGAGCGGACCAACCAGGAACTGCTTGTGCAACAAATAAGCAGAAAGAAATGGAGGTGGATTGGCCATACGCTGAGGAAACAATCAAGTGACATAACTAGACAGGCCCTCGAGTGGGACCAGAAAGGGAAGCGGCGAGTTGCTCGTCAGTAAGAGGGTGACATGGAGGAGGGGGCATGTGAAGAGGAGAGATAAAAGCGTGTGGGTAGACTTGGAGCCAGATGAAAATTCTAGCAGAGAACCGAACGCAATAGAGACGCGCGGTTGAAGCCTATGTTACTCTAAGAATTCAAGGAAATAATAATACAGGAAGGAGATGCTAGCCAC